GGTTGAGACTACTGAGACCTCTGCAATTCTTCCTGATTTTTTTTTTTTTTCTGAAACCCCTACAGGGTTATTTTGTAGTGGCCTCAGGAAACCCAGAAGCTATGCCATAATGGATGTTTTTAGTGCTGACAGCAGCTTTCTAGGATTGCAAGCATAGACTCCTAAGTCTTCTCTGTCTTTTTCCTGCACTTTATGTAGCCAGCGGGGTTAGCTGCTGTCGATAGCCTTGTTCTTCTTAACCTGTCAAATGTTGATTTTGAATTTCTGGTTTAGCTAACATCTTTGCTTATTCTTCAATCTTTTAGGTCACTTTTGGCTTTACAGTTACTACTCTCTTCTATTTTGTGAAAACTTTCTGCTGAAGGTGAATAATCTATCTGCTTACGTTAATTAGAAACTGATGTAAATATTTGTAACTTTAGAAAGCTCTTACCGTTATCAAGGAGTGTAATATAACATGTTTGTCTTTCATTGCAAATCAGTGAGACAAGGGGAGAAAACAATATTATACATCTGGAAATCAGTACCAAGGGGAGAAGGGAAAAGATCTTTTAGAAATACAGGCAAGAACAGACCACCAAAAATATTTCCCATGGTTTTGAACTTCAGGCTAGTTAAGTGTGCTTCATATCTGGAGATCAAACATGAGTGAACAAGGTAATCGACATGAAAGAATCAGTTCATTTCAGCAAAAGTTCCAGGGGTGAGGCACTGCCCTGAGTCAAATCAGTGTGCGCCTGGGATTTCATCGCAGGTGCTAAGCAGCCTTCGCCTCCAGGTTGTTAACTACCTCGGATGACCAAAACCTAAAGTCTAAAATTAGAAATGATAGCTATTTTTTTCCTTTTCCAAATCAGCTGTTTCAGTGCTGAGCCTTCATTTACAGCATTCCAAGAGCAAGTGAACAAGCTGAGCATGCTCAAGTTAGTAGCCGTCATCTTGAAAAGTGCTCAGAAATGTAAAAGGCACTTCTGTCCAGAAGCGCTTCTCAGGAGGGCTCATAAAACACGTCTTTTGCTTTGTAAGCTGGTGAAAAATGTTCAGTGAGCTGATTCTGCGTAGGGAATCCTTTGACTTGGATAATGTTGCTGTGCCCTTTTCCAAGAATCAGCCCTTTGGTTTTGCAAAATGACAAACTTTGTGATGGAGACTGTGTGGGCACATGGGACACAAGAACTGCTCAGTGCAGCTAAGCCTCTGCTTTCTTGGTCACTCCAGTAATACAAACTTGTCTGAGCTGGGTCTGGAGACCCAAGAACTCGGCAGTATCACCTTCTCAGGTGCCTTGCTTCTGGGCTAAAACTGCTGGCAAACACATTTATTAAAGCTATGCTGGAAGCAGCAGTGTTCGTTACAAGTCTGGCACCACGGGATTTTAAAGGAAGTCTGCCGGTGGTGGCCAATGAGGTCTGGGCTGGCTATGGAGGAGGGTGCCAGCACAGCTTCTCACTGTGCTCTACTGCTAAGGGAACAGCTGAAGGGTCAGTGTGAAAGCATGACTTCATCATCCTGTCACTCCTCTGGCTGTGGAGATCATGAGCCTTGCAAGGTATGATGTGTGTAGGCTCACCAGTGAGAAGGAGTGATGAGCAAAGGCAAAATTCTGGTCATGTCTCTTGGCTTGCCACTGTGCTAGGAAAGGAGCAACACTGACAGCGGAAGTCTGTGGGAGTGTGTAAAGAACTGGAAAATGCCCTTTCTCTGTGCCCAGAGAGACCTGATATGGTTTGCAAGGACATGATGTGCAAAATGAAGTTCTTGTTCTGCAAGTTTGTATTCAGAGCAGAATTATCTAATAATATCCAATTAGCCATATGAAAGTTTTTTTTTTTTTAATACAGAGGTGTCTCAAACCTGTTTTTTAGGGATCTTACTTCTTAACATATCAGGTACTGCTTGAATCTGAGTATTATATCTGAATGTTCAGGGGTGAGGGAGCAGCTGTAGTTGTGAAGATCTGAGCAACTAACTGGTGAGAAAGGTATGAAAGATGGACAACAGACTATTAACAAACGCTCAGTAACATGTTTGTATAGTACAGCACTATTCAAATAATAAAGCTGCTAAACAAAATGTGTAATCCCTTTTCCCTGCCTTCCCTGAAAGCGATATAGATGCTCTCACCAAATTGGTTGGAATACTCATAATCAGTGTATCTCTTTTCTCATGAACTTTTCTCCCTGACTTCTTGCCATTTTTCATATTGTTTTGACTACTGTGAAGTTGTAATTGCCTCATTTAAGCCTTATAGTCTCCTTCACCAAACAGACTAACCTTTTCCACCTGTAGAGAAAGCTTCCAGAAAAAAACATTGCAATGTAATTGGGGTGCCTTTCTTTGTCAGCATTCAGAACTCCAGCTCATGACTGCAATCACTCATGCTAACATCCCTAATTTTCTGTGTTAGAATTAATAACAATGGAACGTTCTGTTAGAATTAACATAATGAAAATGTGAGCAAGGAATATAAGTGAAAGGTATTGCTGCCAAACACTAGGGAAATGGGGATATATGAGAAGGTGAACCTAGATGTCCAAGTCTAGCACCTAGCATCAAGACATGTTAAAACTCTTAGAAAGAAAGGAAAACTGAAGAGTGGAGACCCATTTTATTCTGACCATTCCTGAAATGATGATGATCTAGCTTAGAGCAGAAGCCATTTGTTCTTAACCCTGTTTAATTTGCTTTTCGGTCAATGTATGTTGGTCATAACCTGGAGCAAAACAATCAAATCTACTTTCACCACTTGGGTGTGAGAAATCCTGGTTCTTTTCTCCCTTTCATCTACCTCCCCTTAAGAAGCAATTTGAGAGTATAAACATCTCTTCTTTGAAGAGCAGTAAAATATTCTAGTGAAAACCTGTAACCCAAGCAATGCTTATTTGGAGAAAGAGCAAAGTCTGCAGAGATGTTTTGAAAGGTTGGAACTGCTAACATACATCTCAAAGGGAGATATTTGTTAGGATTGGGCAAGGATGAGAGGTAAATATGGCACTTCATCTGGGAGAAATAAAAGATGACAATAAATCAGTCTGTCAAAGGGGCTGTAGTGAAGAGCGGGAACAGCTTTAAACAATGTTTGTCTAGTCGATAGCGTCATTTACTATATGAATAACCATCTATGTGAACATTTTGTTGCTTTCCACACACATTTTCCACAGCTGGCAAATGTGTTTGTTTACGTACCTATAAACCATTCTGCAAATACTGGTCTCAAGCTGCCCATGTGTCAGAATTATAAATGCATCCTATTACAAGTTTATTTGTAAAATTATCCATATGAACCTGATGTTATCTGTCTAGCTTTGTTGCTTATTTTTTGATTGTTATAACTCTGTAGATAATTTTTTTCTTCAGTACTGTTTCAATTTTTGAATTTTTAGTTTTAGGCAGAGGGGATTGCCAGAGTGTCATCTAGAGGACCCTATCAGACAGATACAACTTCACCAACTGTGAGGGTCTTGCTAGCATAGAGTAGGTTGCAATACTTCATATTACTCTCTTGTGTTAGAAAATGTTGTTTTCTATAAATTGATGCAGAGTTAGAGAAAGGATTTGAACCGGGCTGCTTACAATTCAGGAACTGCATTACCAACAAGGATAGCAGCTGTTCAGGATATTCCTCTTTCTCCTTTTTTTCTAAATCACTCTCTCTGAGTTTCTCTGTTTCTGTGTCTCAGTTTCTCTCTCTTGTAACATAACTCATCTTCCCCTACATCTCCCCAAATTCAAGAGACTTTCCTTTTCTTGGTCTTGGTTTATTTCCTATATCATAACTATACATGTGAAAGTCTTAATTTTTTTAAAATGGCTAGATGATTATGATGAAAAAAACCCCTTAAAAATAGATTTCACTAAGAGAAAAAGGCTTATATATTTCAAGTTAGAAAGAAGCTGTTAAATTATGATGAAATGCAATGAAAAAAAAACCAACAAAACAAACCCAAACAAATAAACAAGTTCTTTAAATCCAGGCTTTTGTACATGCTGTTAGGGAGGACAAGATTCAGGATCTTTGGGTCTAAATTTTTTTGTGGATCCAAGAAAAAAGATATTTTTCTCAAGTTCCATTACAATGAATGTGTGTAGTCTAACAAACCTCTTAATTGTTCTCCAGAAAATAATATGAAAGCAGTGGTGAACTTTAATATAAATCAAATATTTTGAATGGCAAATGTCAAATCCTATAGTACTGAGATCAGCATGTTAGTCATGTTCTTTCCAGTTCGTTCATTTGCATTTAGTATTACTGCTCTCCCATAAGGAGTGGAGGGATGCCAGAATCCTGCTTTTTAGGGCTGCATAAGTGTGGGACCAGAGCCTTCACTGGTATGGGGCTATTCTCTCAATGCCACAGCTGTAGTCTGACACTAAAAGAAGCATAAGTGCTTCAGAAATGGCTTCCCTGTTAAGACTGCATGTTACCTAAGTTTTTGTGGAGTTAGTGTTGATCCTTGTGTCATACTTGCACTCCTACATGCTGTTAGCATAGGAGGAAATGGAACGTGAGCTGCAAAAGCTGGAAACAGCAAAGATGTATTCCAGATATCCAACTCATTGTTGGACTTTTGTTGTCTGATCCTGAAGGTTCACTGGTTGCTTCATGGCAGCCTGATGCACTTCACACCTTAGGTAGAGCTGACCTTATCTCATGCTCTTGAGGAACAGCAGCACAGGCCTCCAGAATGAGAAAGGTCAGGTGCTGCATCTTTGACTGAGCCACCAAACTTCTGTGGTGGGGGCTGCAAGAGCATGTTAGCTGAGACCACTACAGAACAAGGCCCAAAACACTCACCCATGTCTGGATTTTCTGAACGCTTGAGAGAAGTCCATCAATATCAGGAAAGCTACAGGAGCAAATTTTTGCAAGACTATTATCCTTTAAACCCAAAAGGATGTTTTTGAATGTTGTTATAAATGAATGAGGAAAGAGGAAAACTGCATACTGGAAGGATCCATAACAAACATTTAAAAAACCAGTCTTACTACACTGCACCTCACTACGATAAAGACATTGAGGTGCTGAAGCATGTCCAGAGACGGGCAACGAAGCTGGTAGAAGGTCTAGAGCTCAGATCTTACAAGGAACAGCTGAGGGAACTGGGGTGGTTTAGCCTGGAGAAAAGGAGGCTCAGGGGAAACATCACTTTCTACAACTACCTGAAAGGAGGTTGTAGAAAGATGGGTGTCAGTCTCCTCTCTCAAGTAACAAGAAATAGGGTGAGAGGAAATTAACTCAAATTGCACCAGGGGAAGTTTAAATTAGATATTAGGAAAATTTCTTCACTGAAAGGGCTGTCAGGCATTGGAACAGGCTGCCCAGGGAATTGGTTGAGTTACTATCCCTGGAGTTATTTAAAGATGTGTAGATGCGGCGCTTAGGCACATGGTTTATTGGTGGACTTGGTAGTGTTAGGTTAGTTATTGGACACAATGGTCTTAAAGGTCTTTTTCAACCTAAATGATTCTATCTTTCTGTGATTCAGGACAGAACAAAGGTCAATAGGCAGGGTGTAGTGATAGTTTCAAGGCTAGTATTTTGGAATCTGTCCTGGTAAAGGCATATCTACTTCTTTTCACATCTCAGAAAGATATGGTGATGCTTCTAAGGGAAGTTATGGGGTCCTTGATTGGATACTTTTTTCCTGCTGAATTTTAGTTTGGTTAGTTATTTCCATTTTCTTTAATAAGATGTATTATTCTTAATTTTCTTTCATATCATGTAATGCAGAGTTCACGTGACATTACATAAGAAGCTGTGTTTTGTACTAGAGGTAGTGTGCTTTTGGAGCCCTTAAGGTGGAAAGTAATATAGAAAATAATATCACTTGCTCAGTAAAACTTTAAACAGAATAATAACCATAATTAATAAAAATAGTAGCAAATGTTTATACTTAGCATTTTCCACTGTGTTACTTCGCATTAAAGGGATAAATGTCAGAGCAGGGAAGCTCTGAAAATAGAGAAAGGATTGTGTTCACTGGTCAAACCTGGGAGTGGTTTTTCTGATGAATAACATATGTTAATGATCTCAATCTGGTTTTGACCCATGAAGAATGGTACTGAATGATGATGTTGCTGTAGCTGAGGTCATAGTTTCTTAGCTTCAATTTTAATATTTTTGTATCCCATGTCTTTAAGCAATGTTGGCAAGTATGATGGGTAGTGTGTTGCTTGTTCTCCATGGTTGGAGACTGCTGATATAAGCAGCTTTCTTTGCTTCTCTCACTCCATAACAAGTGTAAGAAGGAAATTTGAATATATGATGGCCTAAGTTTGCTTTCAGTGTTTGCCAGCATGTGACTTGAAAATATTTGTAAATTAAAAGACAGAAAATGTCTATTTTTGGTAGAAAGTTGTCTTGATTGAACCTTCAACAAAAATAAGTCGATGCATTTGGGCAAAGCACAGAACAAGTTCCTACTTCCGCATAACCTTATTTTAGAAATTGTTCTGGAAATGATGAACTTAATCTTTCTGATAGTCAAGCGGCATTATTTGATGCTCTCCCCTCATACCTCATGCAGCTAGAGAGCCAAACCAAACAGAACAAAATGAGGCCACTTAAAATGGTGAATGTAACTACCTATCCAATGCCAGGGTAGAACCTTAATGCTGGGCGACTTCAGCGGGTTTTCAAATCACTGCATCTAGTTTCTTTGTTAATTTGGACTACTCTAGGATTTTAACTTAAACTATGACAGGCCAAGCAGTGTGAGAGGCAGCCCATGCCGGTGAAGGCTGATAATGGTTGAGTGGAAGATGTGTTTGGTATCAGAGCAGCAAAAGAGAGCCCAAAGAGCCGTGTGGGTGTGCAGGGGTGAAGATAAGGTAAACGAGGGAGGATTAAACAATGAAGACTGACAAGGCTTAAGACAACAAAGCTCCATTTGATGCACTGTAGAAGTATACTGTCTTTTGATCTTATATATTTTTGGTGAGATGTTTTTTCTACTTCTACTACTTGCCAATCATTTTTCTGGAAAACATGGTGTTCAGTAAACCCAAAAATATCCACTGCTCTTTGTGATGTCAAGATCATTTAGTTGCAATTCAGAAATTTCAAAATGGTTTCAGCTAGTAAACACAATTTCCTCTTTGTCTCACCCAAAGGTGATGCAGATGTTTGAAACCTCTGTGACTACTGCATTTATCAGAAACACTAAACATTTCATCTTGATTTCTCTTCAGTACCACCTACTTCCTGGAAAATTTGGAAGCCTTGCATTTACCACTTCAAATTCTCTGCCAAGTTCCTTTCATATATTTTTTTTTTGCTCCATTTTTGTCTCACACGTTTATTATATGGTGACAAATGCAGTTCTCTTCTGACACCACATAACAGATGTGTGAAACACACACACATGTCCTAGTAAGAGACTGCTCTTTATTTCCTGGCTCCAGTTGCAAAACATGAGTCAGGGTTAGAAAGGTTGTACCTCTGTCAGAGACATGTAATCCTCATCCTCAAACTTTCCTATCTTTTGCTACAGTAGCAAGGAAAAATGATAAATCTGGATTTTCTATTTCTGTACTCCGTGTTTCCTCCTCCCCAAACACATATTTTCTTAATTTTCTAATTACCATTCCCTTGTATTGATTATATTTACTCAGTTCAGTGATTGATGCTGTCATTTACAGGAAAAAAATCCCTCCAGCTCCTAAAACTAGTACATCAGCACTCTGACTGCAGGAGGTACAGCAGTTTTGCAGAAAACATCCTCCTACTATTCTGGCTTTAATGCAAAGAAAAAACATTACTTGTCCGTTTGCTGTGAATTCCACTCTTTTCTCCACATCAAGTGATATCTGATGTTCTGCTGTATAATTGTAGGTAATGACCAAACAGCCTCTCAACCAGACTGGTGACATAACATGGCTTCTTTATATATACCAGCTTTAAGTGTTCTGTACACTTCTGCAGCGTGTAGGGGGCCTCAGTGAAATACAAAATCAGACAGATCTTTTGTGCACTAAAGTGGAACAAGCCCCACGTTACAAGTTAAAACAAAAACAATCAAACAAGCAGGCAAAAAGAGAAAACTGAACACATTATCACTTCCTGCTGGATCCAAACAGTCTAGGAATTTCATGTGGCAGACTGTTATTCTGCAGTTACCAATGGGTGATTGGAAACAGCAGGAACTATGGTGCTTCCATGTTAATCATAAACAGTTTTGTATTGAATTTTTTTCTAAATCATTTTATCCCACAGGGTCATAGTGGTTGAGTTAGTCCTGCAATAGAATGACAAATAACTGGGTGACATACTGTGAAAAATTTAGAAAATGAGAAATGCTATCCCGTTTTCCAAACAGAGCAGAAACAACACTAATTCCGTTAGGCAAGATGGAACAGACAATTAAACTGGGCATGCTTTTAATTTTGAAGCTAACCAGATAACTGATGCTTTTTTCAAATATAACAACTATAGAAGTGATTCCTTTAACATGAAGCAAACCTACTGATTTTCCTTTCTAAAATTAAAGCATTTACCTTATACAAAGTACAAGAAATGTTACCTGTTGCCTCCACCATTCCTTCTAGGATTACAACAATTTCTAGCTCCTCTTTGGGCAACTGGGCTTTGGATATCTCCCAGAAAGGACTCTGCTGGTTAATTTCATGGCTGATGATCAGTGGTGAAACCAAAAAGAGACGATCATCCCCTGTGTAATAACCTACGTTGATATCTGTCTGGTTGAGTGGTATAAATTCCCCCTCCTTTGTCTGTTTGGATTTGATCAACTTGGCTCGTATTGATGCCTCTACAATGTGTGAGTTCCTAAGGTCTCCTACTCGGAACATCAGACACAGCTTTCCATCCCGCATGGAAATAACTGCATTTGTAGAAAAAACCAAGGTTTCTGCCCTCTTCTTGGGTTGGGATATTTTCACAAACATGCAGCCAACCATGAAAGCGTTGACGATAGAACCTAAAACAGACTGCACTAAGAGCAGAATAATTCCCTCAGGACACTTGTCCGTGATGACCCGGTAACCATACCCAATGGTGGTTTCTGTCTCGATTGAGAATAAAAAGGCTGAGACAAACCCATTGAGGTTGCTGACGCATGGGGTCCACGTGCTGTCTCCTATATGATCCATATCTCCTCGCATGTAGGCAATTAGCCACCAGATCATTCCAAAGAAGAGCCAGGTCACAGTGTAAACCATGACAAAAATCAACAGGTTGAACCTCCACTTCAGATCGACTAATGTAGTGAAGATGTCAGTCAAGTAACGGTAAGTCTCTCTGACATTCCCATGGTGGACGTTGCATTTCCCATCTTTCCTAACGTACCTCTGGATTTTTCTCTTGGCACATTCTTTGTTTATATTTTTTGGCAGATCCTCTCTAGCTTGTTTGGGCAACTTTGGCTGATGAATAGTGACAGGGCTCTCTATGTCCTGCTCCATTGAGTCTTCTTCCAGTACGTTAGCTGCCATTAAAAACAAACAAACAAACAAGAGAAAGGCAGGCATTATTTTTCTTATTATTTCTGTAAGTCAACACACAACTTCTTCCTGTATTACTAGCATGAAATATCTATTAATCAATAAAATCACCATCCTTGTTCTTTGCTCACCTATTAGATGCACAACACAAAAGTCAAATGATGCCAAATGATGCTCAATTTATTGGTAATAGAAATACTTTGAAGGAAAACTCTTGTTTCCTATCTATCAGGTCATCTTATCTACACCACATTTAAATTCTGCAAGATGTGTTTAAGCAGATATTTCTTCCCCCTGCCCCCCTTTACAGTTTAATAAATGAGATTTCTTATGCACCAAGAAAGATCTTCTGGGAGATAGCAGATATAAATGAGGAAATGGATTCACTTGGGGGTTTCACTCAACACGATGAGCAGAGAAAATGAGCAATCATTGAGATATTTTTTCTATCAATTTCATTGCTATGGGGAAACTATTAAATCAATAAGTATAAGGAGGTTTAAAAAAAACAACAGTTTTAGAAAGAACCAATACTACTCTTGCTGAAGGAAAGGTGGGCTACAGTGTAATATATACCAAGGGCAATTCAAGCACATTTCCATAGAAAATCAATGTCTCGCTGAACTGAGACAGGGAATTGTGTGTCCTTTTCCCATAATGTAAAGCATACAGTACTTCAGAACATGATTTCATTTTAATTCAGTATGCCTGTGGCCTTTAATTCAAATGTGTCTTTTTCTCTAATGGTATGGGCCTACACAACATTTCTCTGTAAGTGTCTTACAAGAATTTAAAAACCAAAAATGACAGTAACTGCCTTTTTTTTTTCCCCTTTTTCCCAGCCTCTTGAGATAAATAACTTCATTATGTTTATGTACAAGAAAAAAGAGTTTACAGAGGAGAAGAGTGGTTTATGCATGGAGAGTGCATGAAGCTGAGGACATGGTGAGGTCTGGGGTAACTTTTGGCTTTTACTGGAAAACCGTCTGCACTCTGGGGCTTATTTCTACATGAATTTCAGCTCTTGAACTCCTAATTTTCTCCCTCATGGCTAACTGCTATTATACGGCTGCCAGGCTGTGAAGGGAAAGGGCTTCTGCTGGCTCTGCCTGGATGCTTGGCTCTCAATACAGTAGCACCAATGTGACGCTGTGCCATCGGTTTATAGACATGGTCTTCCTGAACAGTCAAGGTCTTGACCTGTGTGTGATAGTGTATTCTGCAACAGCCACAGTTTATACCACATGCACTGGTAACCACAGTGCAGGCCGTGGAGTGGACTGTTCAGTCCCGCTGTGGGTGGTGAGCTTCAGGCAGAGAGCTGGGCACAACCAAATTGGGAAATATTTCATTTCCCTGAGCTCTAGTTGCCTCTGAGTACCACTTGCCTGGCTGGGAAATGGGGGCATAAACCCATCCAACCTCCCGCTTGACACAACAGACCTGTTCCTGGCACCCCATAGGCTCATGTGTCCTGCCTGGCACTGGCCTGGGCAGTAAACCCAAGCCTTTTCATGTATAGGAGCTATCAGAGAAGCCTGGGCCCTTGTCCAGAGAGAGGGTTGCACAAAGGGCTGCTTTTGGTGGGTCAGTATGGAGTGAAGAGCATTTTAGTCTCTCAGTCTTAGAAATATGTGCTACATAGCAGATCATCTCTGGAGTCTCACAGCACCTGTAGCTTTTTCAAGATGTGCGGATTCATCCATGTAGAGAAAGATCACAGACCTTTGTAAAGTTTGAAGGGTGACTGAAATACCCAGGGAAAAAAAAACCCCACGAGTTGTAGACTGGTTGTCTCCCCTTCTGGCCTGCTCCATTGCCAGACAAGCCTCTGTGCAGCCCCACAGCCTTTTCTGTGTTAAAAGAAAAGTTCAAAGACCGGCAGCAGCATGGAAACCTGATCGCAGTTCTGTGTTTAAAGACGGTGTGCTCCATCCCGTGTCACTTTTTGAGTTGTGTCTAAATAGAGCATTACTCAGGCTGATGGTAGCGGCAGCACTGGAAGTCATGTCACAAGGCAGTCAGTTCTGAATGAACTTACCCCAGTTGGTGACAGTGTGCCTACTTGCATTATCTCTACTGCTATATAATGTATGACGAAATAAACACAATAAAAAGGCACTGCAGGAACCCTGTGAGGCAGACTTAAGCCAAAGCCAGAAAATCTGAAGTTAAGGCTTCACACTTAATGCTTAACCCTCTATTGTGCCTAAGGAAATTTCAGTCCACAGAAGCTATCACATCACTGCAGTAACAGACCCCTCAGATACCTATGAACAAATGAAGGCTCTGGCTTTTGAGACTTCAATGGACTGTGCATTAGACTAGTGATGCTGGTTTAATGTAGTTCATTATCTTTAAGGAATTATGAATATTTTGCTTTCCCATCCCCGTTAGATCCTGGCATGCACACAGGGGCAGGGTTCAGGTGTCCCCTGTTGCCTTTGAGAACATACCTTATTTCTCATTTCGCTGTAAAGGCAGCCATGTCCTAGACGTCCTTGCCTGAGCATCTCTTACCAAGAATACTCAAAATCATAACACAGTTTTGAGTACCGGGGACACAAGTACTGGTTTTATTACTGGCATCAGGAGAAATCTGAGGGGACATCCCCACCCAGGGATGCCTACCAGCCATATGCTGCAACCCTTCTCGCCGGCTTTGCATACAGTGGTTATTTCCTATAGAAGTACCTGTTAGCAGCGAAGCAACTTTTATTTATACAACATAATTAGTGGTGCTTTCAAACAACATTTCATACAAAAGATTTTAATGATGCTTTCAAAACACTGTGTCGATTAAGCCTTTGTGCATCATAACCAGCTTTTCCTGTCTTTTACAGTACACAGAGAGGTAAGGGCCATATTTTCTCAATCAGTCATAGGTTTTGTATCAGGGGCAAGACACCTGCTGTGCTCCCCATCACATGGTGGTGGGCTGTCACTGTCACTGTAAGTGGGCTTCAGAGACCTTGCCCCTTCCAATGTGGGAGAATTTTTCTTAACCTTGAGAGGTCAAACCAGAGCTGAATACCATCTGGATGTTTTAAGAAGGCAGCGTTGGGCAACCAAAACCAGTGACTACATTTAGCCTAAGTCCCTCTCCATATAGCATCTCTCTAACAATCTTGTAGTCATTTTAATTTTCCTAGGGGCATCTGGCTGTTTTGTAAACTCTTCAGGCTCTTTCCAGTGCTGTCATTTCTCAAGTGTCAGGCGGTCTCCAAGACGAAATATTGTCAAGTTTTTAGTCTTTTTCTCTTTGTGCAAGATACCCTATTACTCTTGCCCTCACCCAAATGGTCCTACTGTGAAACCCAATGAATACATGTGTGGGGAGGTTTCTAGATCAGAAACAGCACCCATCACCATCTCCTGGACTGAGTTCCCACTCCAGAGTGAAACTTGCGAGCAGCAATTCCTGAAGTAAGTGATCCAAGAATTGTACATCTGTGTGTTTCCATGGAAATGCTTGATGAATAAGTTTTAAACACATGGCACTATCCCTGTTCACCACTAAGGCTGAGGAACAGCCACATATTGTCAGCGCCTTTGCCACAAAACACTTTGACTAATTATATTGTTACTTGATATCAACCCAATTAGCTTATGCTGTTTATTTCATTTAATTCTCCTTTTGGTTATATAATGGCTGTCATGGTTCCAGAAACAGAGGAGTGAATAGCAGCTATCTCACTTGAGAGCTATTTTTACTCTCTATGCTTTTCTCATGACAAAAATATATACATATTATTAATCTGCACAGAAAAAAAAAATCTACTTCTTGTGAATGCTTCCCCCTCTCCAAGTAAACGTTATGTTTGTTTGAACACAATGGTCAGGTAGCCATACTGTGCCAATTTAGGCCAATTTAGAGTATTCTGTTCAAATTATTTGTTGCAGTGATTGCCTGAGGCAAATGCACACAACGCATATGAGATTTCAGTGACTTGTTTCATTTTCCAGCAAATGACAAGGAGTTCTCCTAAGTAAGTCCCTGAATAGTTCATTTGTGTTTCATCATAGCGGTATGTACTGACTATGGCTATGTTAATAAATTAAATGTGCCCAGGCCTATTCTTTAGCATAGAGGCTAAATGGAGTGATACAGCCCACACTTGTGTTATTGAACTCCCATCGTTTTCAAAGCAGGATAGTCTCGTACAGTCTGCTTGTTAAGAATAGTCTGTGCCCCATGCTACCACCTGAAATGTAGCCAGGAATTGTGTGTACTCAGTTCTGCAATGGTCAAAACCATGCCAGTGGCTTTTCTAGGAATTTTACCGTGAAAGGAATTGGGTGCCAGTGCTTGGGAACATTTTATTTTCTAGTAAAGATGCAACCAGTGTTGGTGTCCGGGTCTTGTCTATTCCAGAACAGCATTGGAAAGGCACAACCCAGTGTTTCCAAGCACATAGTTTTATTTAGAGTCTGTGGAATAACGTATCCAGTGCCAACAACAAACTGTGAGCTGCACAGGAGATTCTCTGATGACCCTCATGGCTGTGAATGTAACATATTACTATAATCCTTAAGCAATCATTTTATCATTATTGGTGTGATTTTTTTGCACTTTGGTAGTGTTTCAGAGATCTTGTCTTGGTACTGCACAACTGCAAAGCAAAAGGAGGTATGTAAAGGGCAAACTTGTGTAATTTAAATGCTTGTAGCCTATTTTGATAGTATACTGTATTAGAGTTGTAGGATGCCCTGCAAAATAATTAGGAGCTTCAACAGGCAATATTACAAATTATAACTGACCTTTTCGTAAGAGAAACTGATATAGAGAATTCAGTGAATGTTGGACTTCAATTCAGTAGACTAATTTTATATCTTGCAACGTAGTTGTGAACCATTTGCATAAAAATTTATTGAAAATTCACTGTTAAAAAATATTTTATAATCTACAAACTGTTCTCATGGGCTTTACTGCACATATACCAATGTCTAGCAGACATCAT